ATCAATATTTATTTCATTTTATTTGGTCAGACTTTTAATTTCTATCTTCTTTAACGGGAACTGTGGTCATTGGCCCTAATAAACTGACCCACCAGGGCATCTGACAGAACAGCCCTTCTCACAGAATTATTGCTATCAAGAAAAATTGGAAGAGGCAGGAATAGCTACGCTGCCTCGCACCCCTATATAAAAGGCAGAATACGAATCTAACAAATACATTACAGCTCCCATTCAGCTTCAGAATATCCTTTTGACGGAGGAAGCAGGTCTTTTAAGAAGCCCAAACCCAAAAAATTAAAGTTAAAATCTTGAGAACATTTTAAGTAGACACAGGTTTGTATCTTCTCAGGACCCCCGAATGCACTAACCAAACATTACTTAGGTAGAGAGCGATTTTTAGAGGGGAAAATTAAAAATTCTTCAAAATTCTTCAGGTCACGCAAATAAATGCAATCTTTAGACAGCTCAATGGAGTAGGGAGATTTGTTAAATTACCTCAGGCAAAGCATTTTCCAGTCTCAGTCATCCCTCTACAAATTGGAAATGGTGAGAAGTTCAACAATATAGTCAAGGAAGGAACAAGCGATGGACAAAAGGCTTTCCCCCCCCCTTCCTACTCTGAAGGAGGTGACTTTATGCAATAACAAATCGCTGCTAATGTAATTGGCATATTATATAAAACAGCAAGTCTTGCAATTGACTCGTGTTTGCAACATCAACCACTAGTCAGCTATCTCTGACTAAGTAACAAAAGTTACTCAGATATCTGCACATTTTGGAAAACGACACTACATTTTGGCTTTCTGTGTTGAGAAACAAAACATGGGTTGATGACAAGTGGATGAACTTTTTGCCAAGAATACATAAATGTGGGATTCCTGACGGGAAAGCCAACTTAATGGTTATTAATGCTTACTAGTTTCCCTTCATTGTTCTTTCTTCCAACAAGGCTGAAACACAAGGCAAATCCGCATGATTTAGGATTAAACTCAACTTGCTTTAAGGTCTGAATATATTTTACTTAAAAAAAACACTCTAACTCAAAATGCAGTCCGGTGTTTTCTTTAAAAACCTAAAATTTTAAATTGAGCCCTGGCAAGGTTGGGTTTTAATGCAAAGTACTTGCCAGATCGAAAATGATTTAAATTAAGAAAAGGTTAAAACAATTCAGACTTGGAAAAAAATATATATTTTCAAGGTCAACTCTCCTAAGAGATAAAGAAGACAGATTGGTCCTTTTTTTTTTCCAGACCGGTATGCCAGAAATAACTAACAGTGAGTAGACAGATAAAGTAAACATTTAACTTATAATTTTTATGGACTACTGATACAGCAATATTGGATTAACCCAGAAATTATGAATTGTCATCAAGTAGAACCTCTATAGTAATACTGCATTTCTATTGGTTCTCCATAAACCGAGAAAGATGGAATTATGAACTATTAATTTACGCCTTTTACGGATCTGAACAAAAACTCTCCTGAATGAAATAAATAAGCTACTTGTGATTTTGCAAGGTTTATGCTTTGGGAAAACTTAAAGCTATTCACTGCACATTGATGGTTCTTTTAGATTGCCACCTCTGGAGGCAGGCGTACGTCAGCTCTGTCACTCATGTATCACAAAGTATAAAGGTGTTCTAGAAAGAAATGCTACTTGCAATATATTGAGCTTTCCATATTGGTTTTTTTTTTTTTTTAAAAAAAAGAGGAGCTTCGCAGTCAGCTGTCATCTTCACCGTTCCACCCATGTTATCATTGGATAACGCTCCGTGAGCATCTTTCTTAATTGAGTAGTATGGCTTCTGTCTCGTGTTTCTACAACACAGGAGACCTGAGAGAGGGGAAAAAGCATATTTTTGAGTTTCAGGAACCTAAATCAGGGCTTTAGTAAACAATTGATCTCAATCTTTTTTTTTTTTAATGACCCTGTAATCCCTTGCATCGGGGTGGAGTCGGGCGAGTGAATGGAGCTGAGCGTTTACTGGCTGGATGCCCTTCCTGATGCCTACACGAAGCTCACAGCAGATATTTCCTCTTTGCTCCCAGAGAGAGAAATATCTGCCGCCACCCAGGAACAAACTTACAGCTGCCTCATAGTGAGGCAAGAGTTCCACCTGTAGGCCATTACGCCTCTCTCAATTGATCTCAAATCATAAAATAAAGGTAGGCAGGAATTTATGGAATTCCATAAACGTATTTTAATGGCTTGTAATCATTGCCAATCTGTATTCCGCCCCTGTTCCCAGTTACCCAGTACCTTGATTTTTCTCCAGCAAAATGGATGGAGCCTAACAAATTTTACCCACTTTGAGGTTTTCACTGCGTGATGTTACAATAACGGGGGAAAAAAATACAGACTTGTATTTTAAGAGGTTTTTAAGAGCCTTCTCATTGATGGGCAGGATAAAAAGACATTAACGCGGGAACAAGGGAGAAATTAAATACTGTTAGGGTACAATTGTGGCAGTGAGTTGGGAGTAAGTAGGAACCTGCTATACTATTAGTACTATCTATCTTGCACTCTACCTTCCTGTTTTTGTAAGCACTCAAGAAAGCTTATGAAACCAAAATGTCAAATCTAAAATCAAGAATAAAATCAACGCAGTCAAATTCAAGACATCTCAAATCAATTTAAGCAATATATATGTAGGTATGTTAAAAAACGAAAACGGGGTTGGAACGGCGATTGGCCAATGGAGCTCCATGGTAGCATCCATGGGCCGGGTGCAAAGGTGGCTTGATCATAAAAAGCGCGCTCCCATTGACCTACATAGATCCCTGAAGATGCCGGCAGTGAGCCGGTGAAAGCTTGGATCGTAATTTATTAAAACTTTTATAGTTTTTTACCTTTCCTGGTGTTCACTGTTGTCTATATTTTTTACCATGAATGCACCCAGGAATCAGTCATCGGTTTTTAGGATTGTTTTTAAGATGTAGGTATGTATATGTATACATGTATACTGTTTTACTAGAGTTTTACTAGGATTTATGGATAGCCAACTAGAAAAGATTCATGGGTGACTGGCTTTGTATGCAGCAAGGCTATTTTATGGTAATCATCTCTATAATAATCATCTATACTGTTGTTGTTGTTTTAACTATTCAGTTGTATCTGATTCTGGGCAACTTTATTGCCAAGTGCTCTCCGTCTTATATTAGATTATTGGTTTTGTTTGCAGCAAGGCTACTATATGCATAAAAAAATGGGGGGAAATACAGAAGAACCCACAATGGAGTAGACTGTAAAAATGGTAGAACTTGAAATGGCTAAATTGTCTTATCCGATTAGGAAAGGAACAATAACTATTTTTAATAGAAGATTAGAAAGCCTTTATGGACTCTTTTGCTGAAGCTGAGCAAAAACAAATGGATGGTTTCAAGGTTGACTGATTAAAAAGGGGACCAAGATATGCAATGTGGGAGGGTGAAGACGGTCCTTATTCTTTTGTTTGTTAACTGCTGCCCAAAACTTTAGAGATTTCTTTAAATATTTTTCCTTTCCCCTCCTCTTTTCCTCCTTTCCTCGACTTTTCCTTTCCCCTCTTTCCTTTTCCTTTCTCATTTTCCTTTCTGTTTTTCTTTCTCATGTTTGACGTTTCCATAGTTTTAATCTTACGGTTTTAATCTCTCAGTTAAAAATTACATATTAACAAGACACCTCCAATGCATCTTCAAGCCAAATACCATCTTTGGCGTTGTAAATTAAGAACATCTCCTAGAGCGAGCTTTCAGATTTATCATCTTGAATCCAAAGCTAAGTTGTTTCATTGTCTGTAAATTAAGAACATCTCCTAGAGCTTTCAGGTTTATTATCTTGAATTGAATTGCTAGAAATCCGACTCCTTGCATAGCTCAGAAGTATTATATGCAGAACTTGGCATGGGGCAGTTAAAATGGCATCTGACTGAGCTTTCTCCTCTCTTGCTTACCTCACTGGTGAATAAATCAACTCTCATGTATGGCTGTTCTTGTCTGATATCCAAGATTCTGGAACAAAGAGATTTTTATGTAAGGTTGTAGCTAGCTCAGTCTCACAGACATGAAGCAATAACGGAGTCTTTGGCAGAACTTCTGCAAACCAATCGAGGCCCGTTTGAATAAAGAACCATGGAAATTAAGAAAGTTTAAAGAAAGCCTAGCCCAAAACCCTTGAGTTGCACTGTTTCCATTGCTTAGAGAGTAGGATTATTTTGGTTCCCCTGTATTTTTCTTAAATGGAGATTTTAAAAAATAAATAAATATGAAGTTGCTATGTTGATAGGACACCTTAAACCTTTTAGGTTAGTGACTGGAAGCTACAGCAGAATAAAGGAAGTGACTTTTTCATCTTCAGATGCAAAATGTCCTTTCTGATGTCCTGGCAGAGAAGGTCTACTTTGGATCCATCGGTGAAAGAGGTCCGACTATTGGGATCCAGAAGAAGAGCTGTCTCTGCTGTAGCACTCATCCTATGGAACATCTAAGGTAAGGTCCACCTTCACCCTTCTATCCTTCCACAAGAACCTGAAGACCTGTGGGTTATATCTTGGGTTCAAATGGGGGAGTTCCACACTGGAGGTGGCTGCTGGATTGAGGGCAGATTCCACCTCCTTCCTTCCTCTCTGCTCTCCAACCGTCCCATCTTGTTGGTTATCATATTGGTGTGTTCTTATTTTATTGTCCTATGGTTTTACTTCTGTTTATATGCCTTTCGTTTTTCTTCCCTTTTTATTATTATAAGCCACCTACAGTAGCCCCATGGTAAGATAGATGGCAAATAAATTTAACAAATAAATACATTTTCATGGGCAAAGTAGTTGGCTTCCTACCACATCAAAATCTCCACTAACGATGACAAGTAATCAAGCCAACCTCGGGTCCTGGTGACTATCTGGGACAGTGATAACACTGAATATTCTTTTGTTTTATTCAACCTTTTCAACCTACTATCCAGGTTGGTGGATTATGGTCCCCATCAAAGTCAAACCACGGTTTAAACTACCTTGCTTCCTCGCGAGCTAAGGTCTCCAACAGCTTTGAAATCTCTCCTGGACAATCAGTGATGGTGACCATGAATTTACACACTCTTTTGTCCAAAGTAAGGGCGTGATCCATGCACTGCCTCATCTGAGGGAGTTCCATGTTTCCATTGCTGACGGCAACAGCCACTCTGAAACAAGGTGAGAAAACGAAATAAACCATTTCCCCCTCATAGCTTATTTGATAGATTTAATAGGATCAAGGATTAAAATATACCGTATGCTTCCCCTTTGGCTATCTGTAACCAAAGCCTTCTAGTAAATGCCTGTTTTACAAGCCTTCAATATTTGTACACTTTTGTCTCCATATCTACTCAGCTCCTTCCATTCTTCTACATTCTACACATATAATCATCCATTTATTGGATTATAATGCCGATGTCAAGTCTGCTAACATTGGATGTTCTTGCTTGCCATATGTGAAGAAGCAAACATGTTTTATTTAGCCTACATATCACTTCTAGAGTTAAAGCAGACGATACTAGCCTAGTATGTGGGAAAGTATGCCAGTTAATCATAACAATATCTCAGCATAGCACAGCCAAGGTCAGCTGTAACAGGAGAAATAGGGAGGGAGCAATTCACACTTCACACTAATTGGAGAATGTGATTGATGACTGTGGAGTGAAGGAGTGAGTTGTGCGTTGTTACGGGTGCTCAGGGGTGGGAGGTTTCAGTTTTTGGCTTAACCATGTCAGCCGAATGGGTAGCTGCCCTACCTACCAAGCACCTGATATGGTCCCCAGAGGATAACAAGGTTCTACGTTGACACAGTGAGTATCTCTGGAAGACGGGGATGTTAAAGGAACAGCTCCTTACAGTACTGGACCCCCACTTCCCAGGTCACACATCAGAAGCCATGAAGAAGTGGCTCCAATTCATCAACTACCCATCAAGTGGACAACTACAATGTCCTAAACTCAGACATTTAAGTTGGTTTCATTTTATGGAATTAAGAGAATCTGACAACATTAGCCTTCCAAACCCTCAACTAGCTTTCCTTCACCAGCTTTCAAAAGAAGCAGCAGCTTGAAGCAGGAGATTCGTTTAACAGAATGACAGAGTTGGAAGGATCTATGGAGGTCTTCTAGTCCAGCCCTCTGCATTTCTTTTGACTTGGAAATAAATGTCCCCTTTGCTTTCTGGATGTTGAGCTCAACAGCTGGAGACTAACAGAGACTAACGTGCCCAAGCAGTTTTTCTGGTGAGGATAAGAAAGTGCTTTTTCCTTGTTTGAGATATCTCGGTAATCTCTCAACCAAACCCCGATACTCTGCTAGGCTTCTGAGATCAGCCAAGATCAACTAGAAGTTGCCAACCAAACTGGAGGAAGATAATTCTCCATTGAGTCAAACTCAACTCTCTGGGGATATTTTTTTGCAATTCTGCAGTCTAGTGTACAACCTTGAAATTCCTTGGGTGGTCGTCCAGTCCAAGCACTAAGATATCCCCAGGTAATATCAATAATATACATAAACTGAGCTTTGGATAATTTTATACCTTTTGCCCTTTAACTCTGGCAGTTTCCCAGACACCAGAGCAGCCAGTGCAATTGCCCCTTCTATGTCGACAGCAACACGTTCGTACTCCAGCAACCTCAGCATAGAAATCAAGACATCCTCTTCTCTGAAGGAGGAGAACAGCAAAGTCAGACAGAGTCCTGCCGCCCCCGTGCGAATACGACACTTGGTTTCTCAATTATTCAAAAGCATCGCACTGAACAAGAGCAAGGCTCATCTTTGTCACGCCCAATACAGGTAAGTCTTCGACTTACAATGGGATAACCTGGAAATGCACGACGCTTCTCAACCTGATGTCTTGGAGCTGCAGTGGATTTTAATTCTAGTTAAAAAAAAATTAAGTGATTTGAATCACTTTAATGTCCTTCTTCTTAAAGCTCCGTGGTCTGAGCTGAAAGGGACGATATTCAGGTATAGCCTAGACAGCTGGCAACTAAATTACAAAGGAATCGCACTCACATCTGGGAAGGCAGTTCAGATCTGGAACCCAGATGTGGGCTATTCAAGTTTAAAGGGGCAAATTACACAATTAGGGTGCAACTATCCATGAATGGCACGTCCATCTTTAAAATACAAGGTTTTCCTGCAGAACTAGAAAAGAAAAACCAGAGACCTTGTGTTTAGTAGGAACTCAACTCTCAGAGGCACAGGGGAAAACTGCCAATGTTCTGTTCTCTGGAACCAACAAATCTGTTGCTTCTTCTCACTCCAGTATTTCTGGATATGAACCTACATTAGATTCTAAGGTGAGATATAGGAGTTCCATTTGAAGAAAGACTGTGTGGAGAACCAACTGTTGCGAGACATTGGACACTTTCCTTTCGAGTGCAAACCACAGAAAGGGCTGCTTACTTAGATGATTTCAGAACTAAATAATACTGGGGCAGCTTAAATGTTTTGCAGGGAACAAACCTACATCTCATTAATCATAGAGTTATAGGGCTGGAAGGGCCCTTGGAGGTCTTCTAGTCCAACCCCTTGCACGAGGCAGGAGTCCTTATAGCATCCTGGACAAATGGTTGTCCAATCTTTTCTTGAAAAACTTCCAGAGATGGAGCACACCCACAACTCCAGAAGGCAACCTGTTCCACTGATTGTTCTATCAAGGAAATTTCTCTTTTAGTTCCAGGTTGGAATTTTTTCTCTGAGCTGCTTCCACTCATTGCTTCTTGTCCTATCCTTAGGTGCTAAGGAGAATAAATAGACCCCCCCTTCCCTGCAATAGCCCTTCAAGTATTGGAAGATGGCTAGCAAGTCAAAGGCCAAAGAGAATTGAACATTGAGATCAGATTGGGGTTGATGGACTTGCTATGAACACGTTCTATTTTCTTTGAATCTATTTGTCTGTTTGTATTAGTTTTATATTTGGATATGGTCAAATGACTGCATCTGTAAGGTTTCCATTCTATGCTTTTCTGGATATGACTCAATTATATCCCAATTAGAATCTCCCTGCTCTCCATTTCCTCCTTTAAACACAGATCTGTTTTGTACCCAAGTCAGAAAACCAAATTTATGGGTTGGTTCTTAAGATCGCCCGGAAACACCCCAAAAAGGAACCACCACAAATGCTAATTTTTAATCAGAGTAAAGCATGGCCTTCACATACCTCACTGTTACAACTTTATCAACCCAGTTCCCTGTCAGTTGAAAAGAATTGGTGCCAAAACCACTCAATTCTGAAAAACGAAGCAACAAAAAAAGAGAGAGAGAGAGAGAGAAAAGGAATACATGAATAGTTTTACCCACTGGTTATAAAATAAATGCTAAATCAGCGTACAAGTTTTGACTGTTTTGCAGTCTAATGTTAGAATTTAGGCAAGGCTTCTTGTAATGTTCAGAAAAAAAATTCTTTCAAGTTGTCACTGGTTATTCTGAGATTAAGAACCTGTCAAAAGAGCAGCACAAAGCAGGGCACAGGATGGACAATCAAGGCAAAAAGATAACCAAAGGGGGTAAAAAGGTAGGAAAGCAACTGGGAATATGAAAGAAATTGAATACAACTATCTAGATTTAATCGTCAGAATTGCATTTGAAGCAACCATCAAAAGCAACTACTTTTAAGTCCGCGGCATCAAGTCTTAATGGAAAATATTCTGGCTGTGTTCTTCAGAGTCATGATATTTTTACAAGGGAATTTAATGTTTTTTTTTAAACTGTTTCCTTATTTGCACACAAGGAGAAGGATGAGGGGAAATAAAGAAACACTTGGGAGAGGAGACTAAGCCTTAGGAAGATAGATTGAAGGGGGGGGGAAGCAAGATTTTCCCTGCTGTGTGAAACACCCTCCCTTCAGAGACCAGAATGGACCCAACTCTGTTAGCCTTTTGTAAAAGCCCTAAAACCTGGTTTATGTTCCTAAGTCTGAGGTACTGAATGTGGCCAGGGCCTCCGTTTCCTGGCTATATTGCTAACAAGCCAAATATATCTTACTCTTGTGTATCTTGAATTGGCAGTTCGTAATCCTTTTACTGTTTTTGTTTTAAAAGGTTCTTTTATATATCTAAAATTTTTAATCCCAATATCTTTTTCTCCAATTGTTAAGCCACCCAGAATCATTAACTGGCCATAGAAAATGAACAAACAAACAGTTAAACCTTGTTTGAAGGAGATAGAATCCTTTTAAATCTTTGGTAGATTTAATCTTTTTTTGATATCACTAGTAAGTAGTATGTAAGTAGCCTACAATTGGATATTTTGTTGTTTCTGGCCATATGGCTGTAATAAACTTATTTGATTTGATATCACTGGCGGTTCTAGTGATAGCCCTGGAGTTTAAGATACGGGAAAGTAAATTTCAAGGGAATACTGGCAGAAAACTTCCTCACAGGAAAACCAATTGTTAGTACAATGAGTGTAGCTGGAAAGCTATCATTTGGGGGTAGCTAACAACTCTATTAATTCTGTAATAGAGCAGTGAACATTATACTACGCAATTCATTTTGCTAGTTGTTAGTACATTACTGTCTTTATTTGGTGCACTGTTTTTTGTTCTTTTTAATTTTGCTGGTCATTAACTGAATAAATATTATTGACTAATGTATCATTCTGGGGTAGTTTAATTAGATTCCTGCCCTGAGCAGAGGTAGAATTCCATGAGGTAAAACAGCTTTTACAAACCATCTTTTGGGGTTTGTCAGCTAGCTGTGGCCCAAGATAAGCCAATGAGAACTGCAGTTGCTAAAAATGCTACTACATCACAATGTTTAGAATTTCAATTGCCTGCTGCGCAGGATTAAATTTTTCCCAGTTTTCATCTTTGGCATGTTCCCCCGTTTAAAAGCAGTCTCAAACAGGGAACATTAAAACAGGGTAAAAAATAAATAAATGCTTTTTCCTTCCCCTCTAGTTTTTAATAGTTTTACTCCCAGCAGAGAAAAGACAGAAACAATCTACAATACAGGGGCTCTACTCAAGAGTCAGCCTGCTATAGAAATAAAATGCTGCATATAATATTGTAGTAAAAATGGTTGGTTTTTGCTCCTTTCTTGCAGTGAAACCCTCAGTAAATAGGTATTAAGTCACTAATAGTTCTTTAGCTATCTCACTGAATGAGCCTAAAGAGGTGCTTAAAATCAAATTATCACTTAAGCCAGAGATTTCTATGAGAAACGATCAGTTTCTGCAAGCTAAACCAGCATGGGGCTTGAAGGAAATGAATCATCCTTGTAGCCCTTTCCTGGTAGAACACCAAACATCTAAAAACGGAGGCGTTTCTCCTTTTCAAAAAAAGAGTTTACAACAGGAAATCTCCACCCTCTACAACTCAACGTAAGATTTCCTACAGAGCCTCGCCAAACTTTCTACGTTGTGCTTTTTGCAGCTCAAACGAGTAGCTGGCATAGAAAAATCACCCCTCTGCCCATTTTAAACAAAACTTCACGGTTTCTGCAATTTAAGCAAGCAGTTGTGTCTGAAAAATCCCATTTTTCTGCCCCTCCACTCCCAAAAAACCCCCCAGCATTTTAGCAGACAGGACCAGTTTTTTCCAACCCACAAGCAACGCCCTGGAATGCTCCTCATCTCGCAGGCTCAAAATTTATACTTTTCTGAAAACGCCTCTCCTCTTTGCGGGCCAACCAACGGAGAGCTGGGGCGGTGCTCCATCCTAAGGATTTACAGCTGGAGAAATTTGACCTCTCTCAGATGCTGCATTCCGTGTGCCCTTTAAGCTGATTTGTTTGGAAGGCTGAGTAAAGGGAGAGTATATTCAGAGTAAGCGACTCTCTCCTTTTTGAGGGCAAAGGACTGGAAGATGAAATCCTGAAGGGCAATCTCCACAATTTCTTTTCCCTTCCACCAGTGTAAATGCCCCCAAATTGCTGCTTCTTCTTCTTCTTTTTATTATTAACAAAACTTCATGAAAACTGGCCGTTGGTGACTTTTCCAGTTGTTGCTAGAAAACTAGGAGTGGCCCTTAAAAACCCTTCTGTCTCCAAAAGACTAATTTGAAAGTTATACTCTGCCCTGTGCCATGGTACTTATTTATACATCTTTCTGTTAGTTATCCTAGATGTTTTTTAAAAATGTTGCCAAACAAGCAGGGTTTGTTTTCAAGAAGACTGCTGCCTGATTTTCCTACTGAAAAACATTGTGCAGCTTAAAAAATACCCACTGTTTTTCTTTAATTGCTATCAGAAAGAAAGAAAGAAAGAAAGAGTAGAGAACATAAAGGAGAGAAAAGAGGAAGGGAGGGAGGGAGGGAGGAAAGAAAGAAAAAGAAAAAGAAAGAAAGAAAGAGAAAGAAAAAAGAACAAAAGAGAAAGAAAGAGAAAGAAAAAGAAAGAAAGAAAGAAAGAAAGAAAGAAAGAAAAAGAAAGAAAGAAAGGAGATAGAGAAAAGAGGAAGGAAAGGAGGGAGGGAGGAAAGAAAGAAAGAAAGAAAAAGAAAAAGAAAGAAAGAAAGAGAAAGAACAAAAGAGAAAGAGAAAGAAAAAGAAAGAAAGAAAGAAAGAAAGAAAGAAAGAGAAAGAAAGAAAGAAAGAAAGAAAGGTAGAGAACAAGAAAGGAGATAGAGAAAAAAGAGGAAAGAAGGAAGGAAGGAAGGAAGGAAGGAAGGAAGGAGAAAAAAGAGAAAAAGAAAGAAAGAAAAAGAAAAGATTTCTTCCTAATAATAAAGGGTAAATGGTGTTGGTTATTCAGAAAGACTAATTGCCATTTAATATGAATATAAATTTATCTATGATCTAATGTCAGTTTTTTTGTATGCCTAGAGATGCCGTCAAGGGCATCTTTCAAAGAAAGGAAAACTGTAGCTCAATTGAGCAATAATAGTTCATCTTGTTGTCAGATTTCAACTCTGGGAGACTCGAGTCAGAATTACTCCAAATATTAGGTATACACAGAATTCTCAAACCTGTTCTTTTTATAACCATGGGGTGAGCAAAAGAATGGCCAGTGACAAGCTGAAATAAAGCAACTCTGATTGATGGCCTTGCCTACCGTCTTAGCATAAAATGGCCTCATTCATGACTTGGAATGACATAACGGAAGTTAAGCTGCCTTTAGGTTTTTTCTGCACAGCTGGATGGGCTTCACTCCTCCATCCTTCAGTTGGCAGAAACCTCCACCATCTTGAAATCTGCTTTCCTAGTTGCCAATTTGCTCTCCAGTGTCAATTGCCTCGCTTCCCAGTGACTCCAGTCCCCTAACAAACTTGACAGACCTTCGGGCTGGCCTTGGAGAGGGCTGGAAGAATAGGAAGATATCTCCAGGAATACCTCTGAGCCTGTCTCACTCATGGACTACTAGGGAGTAGGAGGAAGACACAGTTGTATGGACACAAAAGAGGTTCCCGGGAATATCTGCACAATAGTTACAGTCGAGAGAGAAAAGGCCCAAATCTTTTACCTCTGTAAAATTGAGGGTGGCTGTAGGTGTGATCTTGAATCGGTTGTCCTGTCTTTAATGACTGCTGATCTACAGGGATGTTCTCCAGTTCTACACCCTGAGGAACAGGAAGCAAATAAGAACAGGGTTTCAGTTGAGCGCACACCTATTGCACCTCCGTATCTTTTACAGTTCCACAGATTTCCAAAGAGTTTATATTAAGAATACCCTTTCGTTTCCCCATCTGGGCTCTTTCGTTCTCCTGCGGAAACTTTAGACTCGGCATTATTAGGATGAAATTAAAATGTATCCCAAAACATAACAAACACCTTCCTGCTGCTACACACTGGAAGGAACAGCCCTCATCTAGTGTCGGTCTATATTTCTGGAAAGGAGAATACTGTACACTTATGGTATGAGGTCATTCCCCACCCTCCAGTCAGAGCTGAAGAAGCTTCTTGGATGAGAAGCGAAGCGTCTTCAGAGAAAAACAAGGAAGTCCAGTTGCCTGCTGAAAAAGCACTTTTGGGATAACCATGACCTGGAGGACTGAGAATCACCATAGACATATGAAGTAGAGCTTCATACCATCTGAGTTGGTTCCCCAGCACTCTAAACCACCAAGAGAGAGCAATCACCAACAGTCATAACTAACCAAACTTGGCATGTTTGCAAATGCATTTGCTAGAACTTGGAGAGTCAATGTGGTTTTATGGTTAGGGTGCTAGACCAGGGGTAGGCAACCTTGGCTCTTTTTATGACTGGTGGACTTCAACTCCCAGAATTCCTGAGCCAGCACGTCTCAGCTTGGAAACCTCTCCCTTTCCCCTCAGCATGACTGGCTCAGGAATTCTGGGAGTTGAAGTCCACCAGTCACAAAAGAGCCAAGGTGGCCTACCCCTGTGCTGGACCAATGGCGGAGAGATCAAAATTCAGCATTGCAACTGTGGCTTTGCAGGATCAAAATATCAAAATACTTCTAGAGGACATCTACTTTGAAGAAGGTGACTTAAGAAATTCCTGTGCTCAAAAACTGGGCAAATTGTACTGGCAGTTCCGCTTCCTTGTTTTAATCTTGTGTTCACTAGTCCATATGACAAGGAGGCGAAGGGAAGGAAAGTGGTCTCTATTTTCTGTTATCCTACTGAGATTCCGTATCTTTCTGTTCCTTGGCTCTTGGTGGATTAACCAGGTCTGAAGCTGAAGCAAAGGCTTCCAGATGCACACCCAAAGAAAGCAAAGTTGTACGGAGGCTTACCACCACAAAGATATGTTGGTTCAAATGCTTCAAGGCCGCAGAGGTGCTGGCCAGCAATCCACTGGGAATCCCTGCTGGCAATATCATTGCATCCAGTTTGGGCACCTGTTCGTAGATCTCCATACCCATGGTCCCCAGCCCTGATAGGTAGATAGCACTATCATCTCTGCAGACACAAGCAGGAAAAAAAAAAAAAGAATGGCTGCTTAACAAAGAGCAATAGTGTATGATCTACCTTCCTTGGGTTCCCTCAACCCACCTCCTTATGCCTTTCTTCTTCTTTTGACTCTCTCTGTACAGGTGACAAGAGCAATGTGGTATGTCTCATCAAAACCTGGTTGGGTCCAGGTGCAGAGGGTTCTCCACTTGGAAAGGTTCAATATAAAATGAGGGCAAACTCTACTCCCTACTAGCGCTGATGATGTTACCTTGTTTGGTAATGAAACGTCTGCAAGGAAGAGAGCACCAAGGACCCCACGGTTCAACCTTGAGCTATAAATATTCCCTTCTATCAAAAGAGCTATTTTTCCTTCTCCTATATCAGTGATGGCAAAGCTTTTAGAGACCGAGTGCTCAAACTGCAACCCAAAACCCACTTATGTATCGCCGGGTGCCGGGTGGGTGTGGACCACTCGGCGGGTGCAGCTACAGTGGGCTTGGCAGACTGGGTGGGCGTGGCCACTGGATGGGTGTGGCTGCAGTAGTCATGGCAGATTGGGTGGGCATGGCCAGGGTGGGCGTGGCCACCTTGATGTTGCTTATGGGGAGGGACACCTGTGGGAGCCGGGCAGGGTTGGGGGAGATCCAGGGGGTCTCTGACAGGTGGGATGGTGGGCTCCCCAATGGTGGCTCCAGGCTGGCTGGCCTTAGGCCAGTGATGGTGAACTTTTAGAGACCACGTGTGCTGGAGCGATGGTGCGTGCCCAGAGAGAGGGCTCCGCATGCCACCTCTGGCATGCGTGCCATAGGTTCGCCACCACTGTCATATATGTTGAAACAGCTTGGCTGTTTCAGGACACCAAGCTCCCCTTAAAGTTTTTACTCTCATCACTCCTCCGAGCTCTGTAGTCTGAGGAACGGTTCCATTTGATTTGTTGTTTTTAACCATTCTTGGCGATTTGATAGGCAAGTGCTCTCCATGCTACCTGGTCAAGCACAGCTTCGTTCAATTATTGCATGTTCAACTTTGCATCAGCTTTGATGTTATCAAGCCAGCGTGCTCTTCGCTGGCCCTTTCTCCTTGCTCCATCAACCATTCCTAGCATCTTAGACTTCTCCATTGAATTTGCACCCATGATACGGCCAAAAGAAAGCAGAGGTAGGCTTATGACTTTAGCTCCTATTGATGTGTCTGCTTTTATACGATTTAACACATCTCTGATACTTACTCTGGCTGTCCATGGTAAATGCAATAATTTATGCCACCGCCATAGTTTAAAGGCATCGATCTTTCTTTGATCAGCCATTCTAAGTGTCCAACTCTCAGACCCATACATCACGATAGAGAAGACTATTGCTTTAACTAGCCTGCCTTTTGTAGTTATATCAATGTCTCTGCTTTTTCCAGATCTTATTCATGCTAACTACCGTGGGGCAGCCTAACGTTATCCTGTGTTTGATTTCTGGAATAGAGTCACCTGCGTGGTGCAAATGGGTACAATACAGTCCTTTCAGCAGTTCCAAGAAGGCTTCACACCCATTTGCACCGCTCAGGTGACTCTGAAGACACAGGTCAACCTCCAAGTGGCCTCAACGACCCTCTAAAAGAAGGCAAATGACCAGCTGTCTACAAGGAGTATAAATCCTTCCATTCCCCACCGTCCAGTCAGAGCTGAAGAAGCTTCTTGGATGAGAAGCGAAACATCTTCAAGGAAAAACAAGAAAGTCCAGCTGCCTCTTGGGAAAAAAAGCACCCTATTCAAGTCCTGACCAGTTGGCAACCATGTTTAGTTTCTGGGCCCCAAATCAGCTAGATACTGCCACCTGCAGGTAAGGATGAAAACAGCTACTCAGACTCTTCTGCTGTGCTCATTTCAAGTGTGGGTTTTGCAAACACCGTTCTGCAAGCGAACAACTTACTCTTCGAGGTATAGGTAGCTGTTTTCTTGGGCAAGTCTCCTGGCGTGCAACTGAGAGTCTCTGACAGTAGAGCCGTAGGAGATGACCATGGCACCGTACTCACGACACGTCTTCACTCTGGTTGGCGGGCTGCAAGCAGACATGATGACGAAGACAGGAATGTGGAGTTCCGAGGCGTGATACGCGACAGCCATGGAGAAGTTGCAGTCCGAGGCCACAATCACACCGTTTCTTTGCTGGTCCTGGGGAACGTGAACCCACAAATGTTCAGGACATTGGTTAGGAGCTGGGTACAAGCCTCCCCGATCACGTGAATAGAATGACAAGAGTTGGAAGGGACCTCGGAGGTCTTCTAGTCCAACCCCCTGCTCAAGTAGGAGACGCTCTACCATTCCAGACAAATGACTTTCCAATCTCTTCTCAAAAGCCCCCAGGGATGGAGTACCCACAGCTTCTGAAGGCAAAAGCTGTTCCACTGATTAATAGTTCTCACTCTCAAGAAATCCCTCCTTAGTTCCTGAAACCTAGAAAGTAATATAAATGATGAAGCAGGGACACTAAAAATAGGGGAACAGACTACTTATAAGCTTGAGCAGGGGGTTGGACTAGAAGACCTCCAAGGTCCCGTCTCACTCTTCTGTTATTCTGGTTTTGGGTTCAGTAATAATATATAAGAAAGCACGTTAAGCATGTAAAGCTACTCTTTCAGATGCTGTCCTCCGAAGAGCTTATAAGCAGTCTGTTCCCTTATTTTTTTAGTGTTCCTGCTTCATCATTCATATTGCTTTCTGGGTTTCAGGTCTTCCAAGGGGAATGGTGCCTTGACAACTTTCAGCTCCCCCTCAAAGGAACCACTAGGATTTTGTTCCATGCACCAGGTAAATGAATACAACACAGAATTCATATTTCACTCAATGCAAAGGTTTTATAGAACGCGCAAGGTCAAAAACATGTCAAGTGTCCGTTAATTTACGGAAACCCAGCTTCCTATTCCAGTTTAACAGCAACACTTATTACAGCAATTTTTTTCTGGGAGAAAAATTTCTCTCCTTGGGAAATGTCGCAAAAAGAACTTGGAAGTATATTATCTTTCAGACTAGCTTAGCTCACTTCTCACAGTCCTTTCAAAATTTAGCAAGGCATTGATTCACTCCGGTGCTCGTGTTTCACTTTTCTGATTTTCCTACCTCTCTTAAGGACATCAGGAGGTGAAGCACGCCTCGCTCCTTCGCAGTTCCTGTGTACTGAAGGAGCTCTTTCTTTAGATATATGTCCATTCCATATTGCTTTGAAAGCCTAGAATACTGAAAACAACGGGACACGATTGAGTAACTCCGTTTACTTTTGCAAACATGCAGCCTTACAAATTTATTCAGTCTATTTGCCAATCTTGCTGCAAAACTCTTAGCATCTTGATTAATAAGGGATATTGGTCTATATGATCCTGGGGGTTGATTTAAAAAAAGGGACGATTAAAGTAAATAATTATAAGGAGGATTTTATAAAAACGGTGTTGGTGGAAGGCAAAGGGAATAAGATAAGGTAAGGTAAGGTAAGGTAAGGTAAGATAAGATAAGATAAGATAAGGTAAGGTAAGGTAAGGTAAGGTAAGGTAAGGTAAGATAAGATAAGATAAGATAAGATAAGATAAGATAACCTTTATTGTCATTTTTATACTGTGGGCACAATGGCACACATCAAAAATGAAATTTAGTTGCCCACTCTCAAAGTGAAACACATCCATGACACACACCTAAGCATACTATGAACAACATATGTATAGACCCACATCCCTACATATACGTAGCAAATAAATATTAAATATTGTCCATCTTGAATATATAACAGAAGGAGGAAGCTTGAGAGTTCACAAGGTTAATGCTGTATGGAATGAAACTCTGGCTGAATGTGTTGTTTTGGAGGGGATAAGGGCACAATTGAAATATATTGTATATTGTTAGTTCTTATATAAGAAATATAGGTAATAAAAATGGTCCCCAGGGGGGTGGGTGCACTGTAATATTTGTATTTTTGATACTGTTTTTTATTTAGACTTATATGCATGATGTTTGTATTATTTGTATTTGAATAAAATTAATTTAAAAAAGCAAACATACAGACTTACGACAGTTTATTTAGTGATTCACTTAACAACTGTGACCTGAAAGGTCGTAAACTGGAGCAAAACTTAACAACTCACAGTAAAGGAAATTGCACGGAAGCGTGGATTAATTTATTTCTGGTCTACACCAGTTTTGCTACTAAATTAATGGCCGTCTGGCTTTTGCACGGATTTGTCTTGCTTTTAGTGAAATACTGTGTGCATTATTTCAGAATGTCTTATTTTTGAGTTTATTCTCCCTTAAGCTTCCTTCTGATTTGATTTACCTTAATTAGTTGTTAGAACTGTACCCCAGCTTTCAGAGAAATGTCAAAACAATAAGAGTGGTGGCTATAATGTTCTGTGTCGATCCACAAAGTAGAATTGAAGTCATTCCACTTAACGCTGCGAACTGCAAAATCTTGGAGGACTGCTGGCAGATGTGATTTGTCATTGAAAAGTTCCCTCCATCGATCACCCAGCGGCAATTTTTATTTGCTCTGAGCAATCACACTTGATGCTAACAAGCACAGTTCAGAAAGGGCCATAGATTAACAATCACAAACAAAGCCTTATGGGTGATAAAGAGATCTGCCGTGGACAGATGTTCTGTTGTAAGGGATTGATGTCATGTTGTTCGTAGATTATTTATTTGGATGATAAGGGGCTGGTTCTAGCTTATCTGGGTTTGCTTGCTTCCTGTGAGATGGGAAAGATCATTGGGAAGGCGGTGATTGTTCAAATGACTTTGGGTTATTAAGTTGATAAGGCAATGAATAGCTCGCGTTTGTCAACGTGGTGGTTGATTACTATGGGGAACATGTTATGCATTGAATGTCTGTGGAATGTCTCCACAGACATTTAGCCATGCACTTTGGGGTGAACACCCTTCAGAGGGTGCAGGAATATGAACAGATTTCCAGAAAACTTTGCAGACTACAGGAACAGGGCAAAAACATCCTGCATCCAAGAAAGCTCCACACCTATTTGCACCACTCAGATGACCTTGAGGACACAGATAAATTTCCAAGTGGCCTCAATGACTCTCTAAAAGAAGGCAAATGACCAGCTGGCCACAAGGAATATATATCCTTCCATTCCCCACCATTCAGTCAGAGCTGAAGAAGCTTCTTGAATGAGAAGCGAAACATCTTCAAAGAAAAACAAGAAAGTCCAGTTGCCACCTGAAAAAAGCACCTTTGGGACTTATCCAGTGGTGGGATTCAAATATGTGAACAACCAGTTCTCTGTGTGGATGCCGCTTCTGGAAGTCCATTCTGGGCCTGGGTAAGAAATAAATAGCTACCAGTTCTGCCGAAGTGGTGCAAACTGGCTGAATCCCATCACTGGACTGATCTCAGAGGGTTTGTGTGTCTTCTAAGCAAGGTTAAGCATTAGTTCTGCCCTACCTATCTCATCTGACCAATGGACAAGACTAGACATGTGTCAATTGGCTGGATGGTTGTTCACATATTTGAATCCCACCACTGGATAAGTCCCAAAGGTGCTTTTTTCAAGAGGCAACTGGACTTTCTTGTTTTTCTTTTGAAGACGTTTCGCTTCTCATCCCAGAAGCTTCTTCAGCTCTGACTGGATGGTGGGAAATGGAAGGATTTATACTCCTTGCAGACGGCTGGCGATTCGCCTTCTTTTAGAGAGTCGTTGATGCCCCTGGAGGCTTATCAGTGTCATCAAAGTCCACATTTTGGACAAGAAGACCGCTGGTTTGAAAGAGGGGTCAAAGAGGCCATCTATATCCAAACTGAACAGCCCTCTCTCAACAGAGGAGGGAGTATACTACACCTCCTATCTCCAGTCCACAACACAGTCTTTTCAACACTTCCAAAAAGGCTCCACACCCATTTGCACCACTCAGATGACCCTGAGGACACAGGTAAACCTCCAAGTGGCCTAAATGTCTCCCTACAAGAAGGCAAATGACCAGCTGTCTGCAAAGAGTATAAATCCTTCCATTTCCCACCATCCAGTCAGAGCTGAAGAAGCTTCTTGGATGAGAAGCAAAATGTCTTCACAGAAAAACAAGAAAGTCCCGTTGCCTCCTAAAAAAAGCATCTTTGGGACAGCTTCCTCACCCTATGTATTGAAAGGAATGTGTAATTCTGATTTCTAACATGGTTTGGAAGTTCACTGGCATTGAAAAAACAATCAAGAGCGATACCGTGCACGGGGTTTTCAGGACTCCATGCTGGATCTTGAGCGCCGCAGCGTTGATTTCTTGGATTTTTTTGCAGGTGGTATAAACCGGTTTGCTAACAGCCACTTCCGGGCAGGTGGCAGAATCATTCAGCTTTCCCTCCTCCTGGCTAACAATCTTCATTTCCCATGTCTTCACTCCCCCGTTTAATTCCTCTTCCTCTCCAAAATCTTTCAGCCTCTCCGGGTGGATGGACGATAGCCTTTGCTCAGCGCGGCTGCTTCTTCTTTGCCGATCCTTATGCGAAGGAAATTCAGAGCTGGTGGATGCCGCTAGCTTTTTGGGTTTGCTTTCACCACTCCTAAAAGGAAGAGGGAATGAAATGGGTTATGAACGGTTCATCCTGTTGAACATCAACCGTGGGAGATCTGAGGACATTCTCCACTTAGGGCCTAGATCAGTGGTGGCGAACCTATGGCACGCGTGCCAGAGGCGGCACTCAGAGCCCTCTCTGTGGGCACACGTGCTGTCGCCCGAGCCCCGCCTCCCCCCGTGGCCCCCTCCTCACCAGCAGACCCCCTGGAGGAGAATCACCCCTAGGCGCGGCCTGTGTGGAGCAGCGCAGCCTAGGACATGGCAGCCGGACAGCGGGGACAAGACTCCGCCCTTGTGCCCCATCGCGCGCAGATGATGCTGCAGGGTGTGGGCAGAGGGTGTGGCTGCCGTGGTGCTGCTGGGCTGCCTGGGCAATCTGCGGCGGGCCAGGGAGGTAGTGGGTGGCCAGGCGGGTAGAGCGAGCGGGTAGGGGGTGGGACAGGGGCGGGGCAGAGTGGTGGCAGGGCAGGGTGCTGGCAGGGCGGTTTTTGGGTACTCGGTCTCTAAAAGGTTCACCATCATTGGCCTAGATTCTCACTCATATTCTTCATCATTTCATTCATCACCATGCACACACATATACATGCTGGAAGGGTTAGGGTTAGGGGTGGACATTGTGAGCATTCTATGAGAAAATTAGGAAAATCAGGTGCCCCAGCTGTAGAGATGGAAAGGCCTGGAAAAAAAACCTGGAATTTTTTCCCCCCAAACAGCTTTGGAAAAAAACAACCCTGTTTTCCCCCCCAATTTTTTTGGGTTTCCCCCACCCCCCAGGCCTTTCATCTCTACTTAGCTATAAATCAGGGGTCTTCAAACTTAGCCCTTTTATGACTGGTGGACTTCAACTTCCAGAATTCCTCAGCTATGCTGAGTCCACAAGTCTTAAAGCTGCCAAGTTTGAAGATCCCTGTCATAGAAGGTTCCTAAACAAGAATACAGAAATGTCTAACCTTGCTTGTCTGAGATGGTATAGGTTCTCCTGCTTGAGCAGGGGGTTGGACTAGAAGACCTCCATGGTCCCTTCCAGCTCTATTCTTATCCAAGTACAAACCAGGTTCAGCCTTGGCCATCCAAGTACTGTAGGTTCCAGACCAGGGGTCTTCAAACTTGGCCCTTTTATGACTTGTGGACTTCAGCTCCCAGAATTCCTCAGCCAGCATGCCTGGCTGAGGAATTCTGGGAGCTGAAGTCCACAAGTCATAAAAGGACCAAGTTTGAAGACCCCTGTTCCAGACTGTCATATACACTGCTCATATTTGTCTATTGATGGCTGAACTGTATTAATATATTTAATATGGGTTCAGAATCCTGCATTCTTCAACAAAGGCTAACAGTGGGGTCCAGTGTGTGTGTGTTTTTAAAACATATTCAACAGCTCATTTGCAAGTAATTGCAAAATCACAATTCTAGTTAGTTTCTACATGCATATTTTTTTAAATGTCATATGGAATTTTTTTTTAAAAAAAATTGTTTTACAGTTAAACGTTTTACAAAGACATGTACACACACACACAAATACACACAGGTGCATGTTTGCATTCTTAATTTTAGTCGGTTTAACAAGACAAGTCATGGGATTTTAAAAACCTACTTTTTTGCAAATAACATCTTTCCAGAGCTAGGGACAGAAACAGAGAAAAACCGTTGATATGTTTACATAAAAAGAATAACCACAAAAAAAAGAAGTAGAAGTAGAAGTAGAAGTAGAAGTAGAAGAAGTAGAAGAAGAAGAAGAAGAAGAAGAAGAAGAAGAAGAAGAAGAAGAAGAAGAAGAAGAAGAAGAAGAAGAAGAAGAAGAAGAAGAAGAAGAAGAAGAAGAAGAAGAAGAAGAAGAAGAAGAAGAAGAAGAAGAAGAAGAAGAAGAAGAAGAAGAAGAAGAAGAAGAAGAAGAAGAAGAAGAAGAAGAAGAAGACGACAAACGGCAAAAACAAAACTGAATCATCTTCTCCTGGTATAAATCTAACAAAATCTAAAGATTGCGTGAAAACATCTTTGTGTGAGTATCCTTTCATTGCCAAGGGATCACTGCTTTGTTTGCTTATTCCTTATAATAAACAGGAAATGTTTTTTAAAAGCCAAGTACAGTCCTTACACAGTATTTAATATTAAATATTTAAATCAAGCAGTGATTCCTCAGAAGTGTTTCATATGTGGTTTCTCCCCAAATCCTGATAAATTTCTGGATTGGATAAAAGCTCCTATCTATACGAGTATCCTGGTTGATGTTGTATTGCTGAACGGCTGTTCTACACGTAATCAAATTGTAAAAGTTGGGTGCACATATTATAAACATACTCCGTTTAGACAGGATCTGGTATGTAATTTGGCATGTGACATCTGTCATTATAATAGATGGATGGATGATTAATTGCCTTTGCGGGGAAAAAATTATACCATTATCTACCTTTTCTTTCTATAGTCAAATAATGGTAAAAGCTGTTTGTTTTTTTTAAAAAAAAATGTCAGTCCTTTGATGATGAAGAAATCTTAGGGCAATTAATAAATTATTTCTTTATCTTATCTTACTACTTTTGCTAATGCTTTTCGGAACTTCTCTGGCTTTAAACAAAGCATACTTCTTTGCTGGTTCAGCTCTTTTTATTGCTTTCAGTGTTGATATTTTACAAATATTTATCTCTCTCTCTCTTAATGTATGCAATTAGGTCATAATTATTCCTATTTCGTGTAAGCTGCTATGGGAATGTAATGCTTGCTGCTGTTTAAAAATTATTTTCTTAATGACTGACTCTGATTGTAGTTACGTTTTAAAGTGTGGTGTTATTTTACAATGTTAGCAAAACTTGCTTTGCTAGATGCTAGGAGGCATAAATGCCTTTTATAACGTGAGGAAGGATTAGAATTAGTCAGTCTGTAAGTTGTCAGCAAGCTCCCCCTACTGAGTATAACTTATTTATGATTTCTATTATAGGAACATAAACAGGATCGGCTCCTACAGCTTTGGGGCTATCATACAATTAGCTTTGAAATCAGTCCATAATCAGCCGTCCGAATAAGCCACATCTTATGAGGTTCATACAGAACACAAAGGAATTCAGATAAAACATGCAGCCCATAATATGGCTTCTTGATTTCAGTTCACCTTTGCAGCAAGAAGTTAGAAGATAAAAACCATAGAAACACAAGAAAGTCCAGTTGCCTCCTGAGTAAAAAAGCACCTTTGGGACATAGAAACTAAGAGGAAAATGACATAATAATAATAATCTACAGTGTTAAAGAAACAACAAATCTAATTACTGGGAAAGCGCAATGTATCTAACAAGGTCTTTGGAAAGAAAGAAAGAAAGAAAGAA